ATAAGACAAAGACAGAACTGGCTACGAAGTAGAGCTTTACATCTTTTATTTATGTGGAGACTTTCTGAAACTGGCATTGATTCTATGACATTGGAACCATCATTTGCAATGTTTTGGTTTATTAGTGTTCTATGGACACAAAATAAATTTTTTTGCCCTTTGAATTTGAAAAGTTTTGCTTGTTTTTTGTATTCACAATTAGGCAGTGCAGTTTATATCTTTCATATGAATGTTTCTAGGCCTCTGAAGCAAAAGGAAGAAATACAACTCAATCAATTTCTCGAAAAAAGAAAAAGGAAAATGTTGGGGAAGACTTGTCATTGAGGTCTTCCATAGCAGAGAAGGAAAGAGAAGAACTTCTTGCATTAAGGGAGCAAGTAGAGGACTTACAGAGAAAACTGTTGGAGAAAGATGAACTACTTAAAGAAGTTGAGAATTCAAGGATTGAGATTGCTTCCCTCCATTCCAAACTAGATGGGATTCAGAAGGAATTTGATGAAAAAGACTCTTTACTCAGATCCACTCAAATCCAGCTCTCTGATGCGAAGGTGAGTACAATGCATCTATTTGATGACATGATTCAGCTGAAATGTCGATTACCATTAATTAATAAAACACAATCTGTATTGCACTTTTACTTTATATGATTTGCTTGACTAGTGGCGGGACCTAGAAATTAATATTTGACATTTTGACCACCATTTTAACCTGAAATCTGAATGTCCACATTCTGCAAAAAAATAAATAAAAGGAGAACGTATATGTACATTGATGTTTCAAATTGGCTATTTTGAATTAGATAAAACTAGCTGACAAACAAGCTGCTGTGGAGAAATTAGAATGGGAGGCAACAACTTCCACCAAGAAGGCAGAGAAACTCCAAAGAGATCTAGATGTAGTGCAAGATGAAATTTCATTGTTTATGAAGTTTGTAGGAGAGTTGACAAAGAATAAGATGACACATATTGCAGATGATTATCATGTTAGTTGTTGTCCCTGGGATGACCAGCTGAATAAAATGGTATGCACTTCTAGCCATTCATTATCATTATTGCATCAGCTAGAACATATATAGATGTCAGATACAGAATATCTTTAGATTGTTACTTTCAACTCCCTAAAATTTGGGCAAGATACAAAATATTTGTTGTATAAATTACAAATATACCCTTCAAGCAGTCATATTTTCATCGTAAATAACACCCTTAACACTGACACATGATAGAAATAGTGATACTGGCCAGAATTGAGTGCTTTGGACTTTTTTTTTGTATTGCATCTGATCATGTAAAATGTGTGTTGTGGTTTTTTCAGGAAACTACTCCCTCTGTCCCTAAATTTACTTCCAACTTTCCCTTTTCGTCCGTTCCAAAAAGAACTTCACTTTCCCTTTTTGGCAAAGAATTTGTGGTTCACAACATTTCTCTCTCCTCTGCACAACTCTCCACCACACAATTCTCACTTTCTTAATCACCGTACCACTTTAATTTGGAAGAACAATCAGGGACGGAGGGAGTAGCATTTATTCAGAAAACGCTCCTCAATTCCTATTGATACCATGATGATATTTTACTATCTATCTGACTATTCAAGGGTGTATTTGTTAAAACCTAACTTGTTTAGGAAATGTCTCATATTCATCTTTATGTGGGAAAGTTTGAATGGATGGCAATTTTTCCATTCAGAGGATCTTTTTGAAGTTCATTTTTTAATTGGGTTCAACAGGATAATCTGAAAGAGGTGGAAATGCAAAAAGTGGAGGCCGCAAGGGAAGCTTATGTTGCTGCAGTGGCTGCTGCTAAAGAAACGAGAGACGAGTCATCCATGGCGGCAGCTTCTGCTGCAAGAGAACAACTGCAATCACTACTAGGTTTATTCTGACAATGAGGAAACAACACAATCTAATATTCTAATTCCCACATATTTGTGTGTTACAATTATTGTAGAAAAAAGAAAGTCCAACTTAAATACGGAGTATTTAGCTTCTTTTCTTCAATGTAATCTTGAGATACTCTTTTTGTTTCCTTTTGGTTGGTCAAATGTACTCATCACAAGATCTATCAACCACCATTTGTAACTTTGTATCATACGACTCCTCTCTTATTAATGGTAATGGACGCCTTAACGCTATAGGATCAATTTGGGTGGTTTAGCTTTTTGTCTTGATAATAAAACACTATTATTTCTTTAATTAGTATAAATTTTCAAATGTACGCCAACATACATAGACTTAATTCTTCAAAATCTTCCCCTCATCACTATACATCCAAAAAAGAAGATTTAGATGAATTTAGATTATCTGCTGGCAAATTATACTGTGGGATCGGTGTATCGTGAGCATGGTGCACCGATCCCAAAACGGTACAGTTTTATATTAAAAAAATCATAATCTTCGGACTTCTTCTCTTTTGCGATTTCATCTATATCCCTCGTATGAATCATTCCTTTTCCATAGAACTCCGCCTTACTCCAGCTCTCAGGACCTGAAGCCCCGACGTCGCCCCACTGCACAGGCCATCGCACACGAGAGTAATATTTCGTCAGACAATTATTAGAGTCTCGCCCAGCCGCCAATTCTCCAGTCCGGCCACAGCTCTCCCGTCGTTAAGAAAGGAGTGTTTCTAGAAGTCATCTCCTCCGCCTTTGGTGCAATCGTCTGCCCTAAAATTGGTTGAATTGGATCGATGTAGCAATTAGGCCCATTGAAATAAATTGTCTGGCTTTCTGATGTTGCACCGATGTTGGATTCAAAAACAGAGTTAGATCGAAGGAGAACATTCAGATGTTGGATTCAGCAGCTATGCATTGTTTCTGACTTTCTGAATGTTGCAGACTTGCTGTGTTGATATTTGTCTTCAATATTTGAATGGTGTGGTACTGGGAAGAGCAATAAACCTAAATAATCTAGATGTGGAGTGCGTATAGGTGGGCAAAATTAAAAAACTTCAAGATCAATGTTTGTTTTAATATATACATATATTTTATGTGGAGTATTAGACAACTTACATTTTGATTGCTCTTAAGTTACATGTCCGTAAACACAATTTACATTTCAATACGTCTTAAGTTACATTTCCTTTAACACAACTTACATTACTACTTACACCAAATTACATTTTAGTTAATAGTTTTACATTTTGATTTACCTCAAGAAGTTACACTTCAATTAACACGATTTACATCTCAATTGGCCTGAAGTTACTTTTTAATATACACGATTTACATAACATGGATTACATCACAAAATAAACTCCTATTGAAACAACAAATACTTTTTGAAATTCGTTTTTTTTTTCAAAAAATGATTTTTTGGGGGATAATGATTTCTTTAAAACGTTTTATGGTCTTAATATTAAAAAAACAAAACATATTCACTATTTAGATAAAGTAAATAAGCAAATGGACTCTTTTTTTATTCTTTACATTGAAATCAATGTTTTAGACAAGTTACATTTCGACTCGCCTGAAGTTACATTTTTATCAATGTGAGTTACATTTTTTTACACATGAGTTACATCATTCTGCCCAGGACAATGAAAAAACAAAAAAATGCACTGTACACGCGTGTACTGTTCACGCGTAAATTTTTTTAAGTTAAAATGCGCAAAACTGCGTCGTTTTGGAAGGGGAGCACGATGTTCACCGTGGGATCATACGAACTCTTATCTGCTCCGTTTTTTATGTATTTATCAATTGAAGGTAATTGGCTACAACGGCATAAACAAGCTCACATGAACGAACCTATTTGGAAACAAATGAAATACAGAAAGTTGTAACTGTACATAGAAATTGCCTATATTGCCTATACACAACAGAATCAAATCAAATCTATTGTTTTATATAGTAAAGCTCAGTTATAAACTACTGATGTGTCTTTCTCCTATTGGTTAACTAAATTTAATTAAAAAATTTAATTAAAACGTAGGAGAGAAAAACTAGGAGAAAAAATCGAAAGAGATAACTTAAAAAAAACCGAGAAAAATCGGAGAAGAGCGAAAGAATAACGCAAGTTCTTTCTTAATTGCAAGCAGAATGACGTTTTTATAAATTGTTACCATATCACAAATCTATTTCTCATATATGTAATTCGTGTCAATTGGGCAAGCACATTAAACTGCCCTTTTATTCTTCTGTATCATTTACTTCTCAACCATTTGATATTATTCATAGTGACATTTGGACTTCACCTGTTACGAGTACATTCGGTCACAAATACTACGTTATTTTTGTTGATGATTTCACCAAATTTATTTGGACATTTCCCTTACAACATAAATCCCAAACTTTCTCTACCTTCTCTCGTTTTCACTCTCTAATTCATACTCAATTTGAACGTAAAATTAAAATACTTCAATGCGATAATGGAAAGGAGTTTGATAATATTTCTTTTCGCAAATTTGGTGAAACCCATGGCTTGCATTTTCGGTTTTCATGCCCTTATACTTCACCTCAAAATGGCAAGGCTGAACGCTCCATACGTACAATTAATAATATTGCCCGGACTTTACTACTTCATGCTTCCGTACCACCACAATTCTGGCCTCACGCCGTCAATATGGCCACATATTTACATAACATTCTACCTTGTGCAACTCTGTCTTTTCTCACGCCAACCGACTTACTATACCATAAACACCCCACGTACACTCACCTTCGTGTATTCGGTTGTCTATGTTATCCCCATTTACCACCTCCTACTATACACAAACTCCAGGCCCGTAGTACTCCATGCGTTTTTATGGGTTTTCCATCTAATCACAAGGGTTATATTTGCCTTGATCTATTAAATCACAAATTTATTATATCAAGGCACGTCACTTTTGATGAACACACCTTTCCATTTAAAACAAATTCCTCTCCTTTATCTCCAACAACTCTGGAACCCTCCCATACGTACTACAGGCTTTACCCCATAATCCCCACCCCTTCGGCCCCACCCCCAGATTCCCACCAACCTGCCCACATACATACGAATACTTCCCAGCCCAGCCCCTCCACCTCTATTTCGTCCAATAACACTAACCCACCGTCCCAATCTACTGCCAACTCCCCTCCCCACATACCACATGGAACTGACAGTTTTCACACCGCCTCTCCCCCTCCTACGTCTATGCCACATGCCCATGCACGTATCCATGGTATGACCACTCGCAGTCGGGCTGGTGTGTTCAAACCCAAACTACCATTTAACCTCAGTCATACTATAACTCCTTCCCCCCTTCCGAAAACCCCTATCCAAGCTCTCCAAGACCCGAATTGGAAATCCGCTATGGATGATGAATTTAGTGCTTTAATTAAGAATAAGACGTGGGAGTTGGTTCCCCGTCCTCCTCAGGCTAATATTATTCGTTGCATGTGGTTATTTAAACATAAATACAGGTCTGACGGGTCTCTTGAGCGTCACAAAGCCCGTTTGGTGGTCAATGGGAACTCACAACAAGTTGGTGTTGACTGTGATGAAACCTTTAGCCCCGTGGTTAAGCCCGCTACTATCCGCACCGTACTCACCTTAGCTCTTTCTCACGATTGGCCTCTCCATCAACTTGACGTCAAGAATGCCTTTCTTCACGGACACCTTGAGGAAACCGTGTTTATGCATCAACCTCCTGGCTATCGTGACCAATCCCGCCCGTCACATGTGTGTCGTTTACTCAAGTCTCTCTACGGCCTTAAACAAGCCCCCCGGGCATGGTATCAACGGTTTGCGTCTTACATTACATCTATTGGGTTTACTCATAGCACATGTGATCATTCCCTTTTTATTACCAAACAAGATGGTCAAACCGCATACCTTCTACTGTACGTAGATGATATTATCCTTACGGCTTCTTCCACACAATTTCTGCACCATGTCATCTCTTCTCTTGCCACTGAATTTGCCATGACCGATTTAGGCCCTCTCACATATTTTCTGGGCATCTCCGTCACCCGCCAGAAAGATGGCCTATTTTTGTCTCAATCTAAATATGCCTCAGAAATTTTACACCGTGCCGGCATGACTTCTTGTAACGCCACTACAACACCGGTTGACACACACTCCAAATTGAGTGCCTCGGCCGGCCCTCCAGTCGAAAACCCAACCTTATACCGTAGTCTTGCGGGGGCGCTACAATATCTTACATTTACTCGGCCGGACATATCTTATGCCGTTCAACAACTTTGCCTCTTCATGCATGACCCGCGTGCCTCACACCTTCATGCTCTCAAACGGGTTTTGCGGTACATCAAAGGGACACCACACCTTGGCCTTCTTCTACGTAAATCCCCGGTCACAAACCTCATAGCCTACACTGACGCGGACTGGGGTGGCTGTCCCGATACTCGCCGCTCCACCTCGGGATATTGTGTCTTCTTGGGCGATAACCTACTTTCTTGGTCTTCTAAACGTCAACCCACTCTATCTCGATCCAGCGCCGAAGCCGAGTACCGGGGTGTCGCAAATGCTGTTGCCGAGCTTTGTTGGTTACGTAATCTTCTCCTTGAACTTCACCATCCTCATCACAAAGCTTCCGTGGTTTACTGTGACAACATTAGCGCTGTGTATCTATCCGGCAATCCCGTCCAACATCAACGTACCAAGCACATCGAAATGGACATTCACTTTGTTCGGGAAAAGGTGTCCCGCGGTCAAATTCGGGTTCTTCATGTTCCGTCTCGACACCAATACGCCGACATCTTCACCAAAGGTCTACCCCGCATTTTGTTTGAGGAGTTTCGGACCAGTCTCAGCATCCAGGAGCCTCCCGCTTCGACTGCGGGGGCGTATTAAACATAGCATGCATGCCATGCGTGACATACATATTGTACATATATTAATACTTACGTATTATTACTTCCGCATATATTAGTGTGTAGTACTTATTAATTAAATATTGTTACATTATTATCCATTAGCTTGTACACGGTTGTCAAGCTACTTGCTTCCGTATTAGGTGCCTACACGGCTCTTGTAATTCTTAGCCAAAGGTATCAGCGTGGATAGGAATTCCTATGCCGCATGTTTATCTCTACCATGTATTTTGTACTATAAATACTGATCGATAATAAACATACGCTTACGGTGAATTTATCTCGTTAACTGAAACCATTGGCACTATTAAACCACATAAAGTGACGTAAGTTCTTTTTAATTAATGTATATTTTTAATTATTATAAAATTAAAGCATATGCAACTAGATAAAGGTACATTACACTAGATAGAGTATACTTGAAAGCGGTAGTATACGAACGTAATCATAATAAAATTAAGAGCCCGTTTGGAGAACTCTGTTTTCGGCTTATCAGGTTTATCAGCCAGCTTTTTCACCAAACACGTAACTTTTACTTTCGCGCGCTGAATTGTGTAATAAGCCGAAAAAGTAAGGTTGAAGTTACTTTTCTGGCTGTATTGGCTGAAGTTACTGTAGAGGATCATTTTAGCTATTTTTACATATAATTTTTTCTTTAATTTATTAATAAAATATATTTTAAAAATATTTTTTTTTAAATCAGCAGAATCAGCCAAAACAGCCACTCCAGCCAGAATATCATAAATTTCAGCAGAATCAGCCAAAACAGCCGATTTTGGTGCTACCAAACGGGCTCTAAATAATTTTATCCCTTTATGAGATACAAACAATTCTTTAAGTAATGAGTTGTAACACCTCTAATAGGACTCTCATGTGATACATCAATGTAAACTCCTTCACCACTTCCTTCCATCCTTCATTACATAATCAACTTTATAAATAATTAACAAGTATTGCAATGTTTTGGTAAAAAAACGTATTGTAATGTACTATTAGCATATAAATAACAATGTAATCACAGAATTCTTATACCCAAAAAAATGGTGGTTCCTCACCTGTCTTCCATGGTGCACTGTAGTTGCATCGAAGACATCTCAAATAAAAAGCAGAGTTGATATTTACGTGTAAAGAATGACTAACTCACTGAGATAATTCTGTCAAAACTAATCTAAATCAACTTATTTCATACGAGATACTTCTAGCTGATGAAAATATATTTCAATTAGGAGTTATTAAATGTTGACTTTCTTCTCCAAATCTCTAATCTTGAAATTGTTTAGATTCACAAGTGTATTTTTTGAAGGTAAAGGCATAGTAAAATGTATATTGAGATCGAATTTTATTTAAATATTTTATATTTTATATAATAACACCAAGTTAAAAATGAATGATGTGCTACTACTAAAAAAATTAATTAATTCACAGTTCATCACTATTAATCACTCTCTACAACGGTGGATCACTGTTAAATTGACTTAGTTATTCACTCTGTGCATCATTATCATTTTGAGAAACGGAGAAAAAAATCTCATTTTTTAAATTGTTATAACTTTTTTTTATTTGTACTCCCGTATTTACAAAAAAATACAATAAAATTCATAAATTTTAAATATTTCATATGACACTAATATTGCATATATATAAAAATTAAAAAAAAAATCATATAATAAAGTTGAGTTAAAAATCAATGATGTGTCAGTCTCTTATTGGTTTATAAAAAAATTATTATCATTACTACTAAAACATTTAATAATCCAAGTTCACTCGGTGCATCACTACTATTCACCCGGTGCATCACTTTATTCATTTTAATCACGCCAACTCATTTGGAGAAAGTGGAAGACAAAAAAATCTCTTTTTTAAAATGTTATATGAGTGCTCCCTTCGTCTCACAAAATTCTTTTCACTTACCATTTTAGGATATCCCGAATTTTTTTTGTCATTTCCCTTTTTGGAAAATTTTGTGTGGATAACATTCATTTAGTTTTTTCTTACACAACCACAACCATACATTCCCATTTTATTCTCATTCCCCTAATAAGCGTGCCAAGTCAATCCGAAGTATTTTTTTGGGGACAGTGGGAGTATTATTTTTCCAGACAAGGAAAAAAAATCAAATTATATCAGACCAAAACATTCAAATCAGATCAGATTAAATTAGAAAAATGCAAATCAGATCAAATAAAAAAGATTCAGATTAAATTAGAAACATTCATATCAGACCAGAAACACTCGGATCAAATCAGAAAAGTTCAAACATGATTTATTAATAAACACTCAATCAGATAAAAATATTTAGATCAAATTAAAAAAAAACTCATATCAAAATAGAAAGGTTCAGATCATTCCGGAAAGATTCATTAGCGATCATACCAGATTAAACCAGCTTAAAAAAATTCAAACCAGATAAGATCAAATTTTAAAAATTTCAGATCATAAATGTTAATATTAGGCGAATAGAACCACTTATTAATATCAACCATATCAATGAAGTAGAATTCACGGTATAAATATCATATCAAGTTATTTTCGTAAAAAAAATTGTACAACATCAAAATTTTTAAATAATAAGACTCTAATACACGTAACAGGACTCTAATCATACAAAATTAGTCTTACATATTTGTGTGAGGCTCTAATGACGGCCAATTTTTTCAAATAATGGAACATTAGTTCACGTGAATGGGGCTCTAATCATACAACCCCAATAATACACGTGACTATCCAAAATAATGTAAACGCCACATACATCCAATTTCAATTCAACACTTTTTCCTTATCATTCTTCATCATACAATTAACTTATAAATAATTAATACTCCATAATATTACAATATTTAGCACAAAAATAATAGTATAACCCTACATTCATACAATCATACTCCAAAAGATTGTGATTCATCACCCGTCTTCCATGATGGTGGTTAGTTCATAAAAGAAATCGATTATACCTAAACTTTTGATCATATCATATGAATAGTTCACAATATAATATTTATTTATTGGTATTTCTCACTTGAACCCATATCAAATTAACACTACCGGGGCATGTCCCGGGTGTTACACTAGTACACAACAAAATCTAATCAAATAATAAACCAATATTTATATTTATTTCTTTCTATCACCAGGCAAGAAAGAAATGTACTTTAAAGTGGACATTCCATTTGTCTTGAGGTTTTGTATGACCAAATGTACTCTCGACATAACAATTGTACCAAAATTGTAAAAATGAAAACTGGATACGACTGAATCAAAATCTACAACATTGTACGAAAAGGCGACGGGCTCTATGCTTCTTTAAATATGGACCATCTGGTTTAGGCATGTGAACTGGACTTCCCACCCACTCCCACCCTAATCTGCAATATCCAAAGCTCTCATAAGTCATAACTACATATAGATTCAAGAAACACACTAAAAAACACTAAAGTGATTAGGATGTGAATTAAGTTCAACTTACACTGGAAAGGCAAAGGAACCTCTACTAGCATTTGAGGGATGATCATAGGCACTTGATCCAGAAGGTTCCAAAATGCCCTCCTCCTCTCTTGGGCAAATTGTCCCTTTAGTCCCTTCATCTCCTTCCAATTCTGCATCCGTATCTCCGCTCCCGCTCTCCTCACCCTACTAAAGAAATGGAATCACTAAACCTCCCTATGCAGCTGAGGTGTCAAACATAAGAAGAGATTTCACCTTTTCAAATGATAGAAGTCAAACATAAGAAGAGATTTCACCTTTTCAAATGATAGAACAATGTCTTTGTAGCTCCCACTATAGTTTTTTTCTTCATTTTCCTCGTACTTAAGCTGCTTTATTTTTTTTCACAAAAAAACATTCCATTTACAAAGAAAGAGTGATCAGTGTTGGAATATACAAAGGTCAACCTAATGCACATTGACGTTTTCTCAAACCGGTGGTCCCGAGTAAGGGCCCCACCACAAGGTGTGTGTATAGGAGTAAGCCTCCGTTCTCCAGGAGCGGAGCTAGGGCACTGGCCCGGATTGGACAGATACTTTTTAATTTGGGGTGGGTCATGGCCAAGGTAGGGCCCCTCTAGCTCCGCCATGTCGTTGTCATTTTGACAAGCGGCCACTCCCAACCCACGACGGCACGACCTTACACAATATCATAACTGGTTCTCCTAGGACCCCTTTGGAGTTTTCGAATACTCCCTCCGTAACAAAAAATCTTCTCACTCTCTCTTTTCGTCCGTAACAAAAAAAATTCTCATTTCTAAATCTTCCATCACACCCTCAATAATTTATATTCTTTTTCGCTATTCTTAATCTATTTACTTTTGAAATGAGAAGATTTTAAAGTTTTGGGGGAGTATAATATAAAAAATTCAATCCGGCCATCAATATATAAGAGTAACCTTGCGGCTAACATGTCTCAACTTTTTGTTTGTACTTGGAAGATTATTGGAAGGCTCTGATTTCCTATCCTCCATTGCATGAATTTCTCCATCCTCGGAAAAACAGAAAACTATGTAATCCTCTTCCTCGAAGTGGGGCCAACTGCTGTCATCTCCTGTTTCCTTTTCCCACAATGATTTCCCATCACTTTCTTCGTCTTTGATGCTATTTATGGGATCAAGATTCATCAACTGTATAAAGAAGCTGCCCGATTTTGGTATTATTATGCAATGTTAATATGAAAATTGAAGAATAACTGAGTAAGAATTCTCGCTTGTGTGAGGATGAGAGGATTAAGGTGATGACAAGAGGGGATTTAGATTTTGAATTTTGAAAAGGATATTATAATAACGGATATGAAGCATAAAGAGGGGAGTTATAGTTGCATTTTTTGCATAATGATGACAAGAGATTTAATAGGAGATCATATAACCATCAATTATGAATTTTAGCTTAGAAACCTCTCAATGGCAATTAATTTCTAAAAATATATTGTGGATCAAGCTTACTCCGGCATATGGGATGCATTTTCCCTTTTGTACCTCCCATAAGGCATATGGCAACTACTCTAAATGCATTCCAAGCAAATAATGATTAAAATTTGTCCAATTCCCAAGCAAACAAACTGAACACAACACTAATTTAGGATCAAGCTAAAAATTGTACTCCTCCGTTCTTTTTTATTAGTCCTCTTAGGGTTTGGCACATGTTTTAAAAAATAAAGTAGTAGGGTAAATGATAAAGTAGGAAAGATGGTATATTAAAAACAGTAAAGTGATGATAAAGTAGGAAAGAGAGCGTATTAAGAAGAGTAAAGTGATGGTAATGTAGGAAAGAGAAAGTAGTTTGTAAAAAGTAAGTGGGGTAAAAATAATTAAAGTGATGATATTTTCTCAAAAAGTTTCCTTAAATGGAAAAGAGGACAAATAAAAAAACGTCCCAAAAAAGAAAGAAGGACTAATAAAAAAGAACGGATGAAGTATTTTAAAAGTTATTTACGGAGTAAATATTAATGCAAAATGTTTATGCTTAAATTTTGCTAAAAAATCTTGTGTTGCTCAATTTGAACCCTGACTACGCCAATAAACATGTCACAAATTAACTTTCTATACATGTCCAATAAAATTTACGTGTTGCTTCTTAAAATTCACGTGTTGTTTCTTAAAAATTCACGTTGCTCAATTTAAAAGCAACGTTCTCACATATTTGGAAATCCCTGTACTTTCATTTGATGGTCTCAATTAATTATGTAGTACTTCCTCCGAATTAAAAACAAGTTTCACCTTTCCTTTTCAGACAGTTCCAAATTAAGTTCCACTTTAAAACCTTTTCCTTATTTGGCAAATTATCTACATCAAAACAGTTCCAAATAGTGGCAAACAGTGCCAAACAGTTTCCAAACAGTGTCCAAACAGTTCCAAACAATGCACTTCACAGTAAAGTCAAATTTCTTTTCTTAATATGTGTGAAGTCAAATGTGGAACTTGTTTTTGAATAGGAGGAAGTATTATGCTATATCTTCCATCATTTCGTAGTTTTTTTGCTTATATCCATTGAAAAATAAGTCCAGTGTCTACCCTATTTTGCAGGCTTGTTTGTCCCCTTAGCTTGTACTCCGTATAAAATAGGTTTAGTCATAAAGTTTAAATATATCTTTTCTGACAACGATGGAAGATATTACGGAGTATTAATACATAATACGGAGTGTGTTTCTTTTTATAACAAACTTTTGGAGCATATAAAACAATTATGCTGAATGTTCACACATGCCCAATTGGGACAGTTTAAGGATATATTAAATCAGAGTACTCTTCCGGTCAGGAATTCCTGACCGCAACCGCCGTCCGGACGGCGGCGTTTAGCCGCCTTCTGAGTGGAATTTTTCGATGAAATTTTTATGACATGCTCTCCATCAAGTGTAGTTTATCCACACAAAAAATCAGCCAAAAAATCATTCGGGAAGGTCTTCAAATGATTTTTGCAAGTTAACTGGTCCAGAAAATACATATTCCGGACCAGTTAACTTGCAAAAATCATTTGACGACCTTCCCGATTGAGTTTTTGGCTGAACTTTTTTGTGGATAAACTAGACTTGATGGAGAATATGCCATAAAAATTTCATCAAAAAATGCCACCGAGAAGGCGGCCAAACGCCGCCGTCCGGACGGCGGTTCCTGTCCGGAATTCCGGACATGAACTTTTGTCTATTAAATCAATTTAGGATATGAAAACATTCTCGAGCAAAAAAATCTGTTAACAATTTCATAGATCTAAATATTAAGTACAAAAAAAGGTAATAAAATCTGTGAGGAATTTCGTAGATCTAAATATCAAAATATAAAACTAGGCCCTTGCAATATATAGAGAAGCAAAATTCCAAATTAGTCATAGAAAATAAGGATGTTTTCTTTTGGACTGAAATTTGTTGGTCTGGTCTGGTCTGATCTGATCTGGTCTGGTCTGGTCTGATCTGGTCTAGGACTGAAAACAGTCCAAAAGAAAACATCCTAAGAATACAAAACTCATCCAAAAATGCATACTTTGCTTCTCTTTGATATTTTAGTAAAGGGAAAAGGTACAAATAGTGTGAGAACAAATATATCTCTGTTCTATTTTTTGGAACAAACATATCTCTCAAATTTATGTGCAAGTGTATATATACTCCTGAACTTTTAAAACTTTCAAAAATACCTCTCATGTTTTATAAAATAGCTAATTTACCCTTTTTATTATAAATAAATAAAATAAATTTTATAAAACAACAAAAATAAATTATAAATTTGTAATTGAAGAATTAAAGAAAGAGAGTTAAATATAAAGACTTATTTTTATGTTAAAATTATAACTATTTAATTTTAAATTGCAAAATTATTATTTTTTGGTTGTAAATGAAGCACTTCACATTCATAATTATTAACTTTAGTCTTGTTGTGAAATTTCAAACACATTGATACATTTTGTAAAATAACATGTTTTGATTTAATTTAACCTTAATAAAATTAAATTCACTATTTAGTACTCCTGATCTATTTATCATCATACAAAATGTGTACTATTATAGTGCAAAGATTATAAAAAATAATGATTTTTTTACATTGAAATAGATATGCTAACACTTTTCCGAAAAAAACTTAAATATATAGTAATGTTTTGAAATAATATTTTATTCTAACAATATTAAATTGTGGTATAAAAATAATAAAAAGGAGAATTGGACACAATTAGATTTTATAGTTTTTATTTTAATTTTCAAATTCAAATTTATAATTTATTTATGGTAATTTTTGAAATTTATTTTTTCTATTTAATTTCAAAAATGGTAAATTTGCTCCTTCATAGTAACATGAGGGGTTTTTTCGCACTTTTTAAAAGTTCAGGGGTATATATAAACTTCCACATAAATATTTGGGGGCACATATGTTTTTAAAAATAGTATAGAGATATAATTATTCCCACAGTCATACTACAAGGATATATTTGTACATTTTACCTTTATTTTATTGGTTCATTTATTGGATGCCCTTCATAGTCTTGGTCTATTGCTCTGATGTTCAAAGCTGCATAATTTGTTCTCCATCTGTAGTAGATGAAATGAAGACATGTTGCTTTCGATTTCAGCGGGTGGAATATAATGGGCAAAATTAAAAATTTAAACAGTAAGAAATGCTAAAATGGTATTAACATTAAGAGTCGGTTCGGTAACCTAGTTTTTCAGTCTATCAATATTATCAAATATTGAACATTTGAGTTTCTTCACTAGATTGTGAATGATCAAAATGAGCCGAAATACTCTTCTCCTTGAATTGACTTAATATAATGAAGGTGGTTGTTTTGCCTTATTATGTGGGTTTTCAGTGTTTCTTAGTTTGTTAATAAAATATTACTTTTATAACTCATTAATTCATCAAATTGAGTTGTTTAAATCCACATTTTAGAAATTTCAATAGATCTGATTGATTTAGTATTTTCAAATAAGTTCTAAACATTCTTTCAAAAAACAAAACCATTTTTTAATTTGGAACACCCAAAATAGTGAAATGGGACTTGATTTTAGGAGGGAAACACTTAAAGGTTGGTACAACAACAACCAAACTCAAACCTTAAATAGGAATTTCATTTAAGACACTATATAGGTAGTTTGTAATTGTACTACTACTGGAGTATATATATTTACCCAAATCCATGTTAGGCAATTTGGGTGCAGGGTTGGAAGACACCTATAATACTTTCTCCTTCGGCAATTAAAGTTCCAATTCTACTTTTAATTCAAACTTATGAAATTTTGACTATTGATTGCTCGAAATTATCAATATTATCACACAAAATTGATTTTATATACTATCGTATTTCATTGTAATTTGTATTATTCAAATGTTAATTTATTATAGATTATATATTTATAAATAATTACGCTTAACCGCTCACCTGGAAGACCGTAAAATCAAATTGTAACTTTAATTATGGGATGGAGGGAGTACTATACACAATTGTGATGTCATAGTTATTATAATGAAAAATACCAACTATAGTGAGTTCCAAGATTAGTAGATATATTATCCTGTTGGTAATGCTAGGCTTTTGTTTCTTTGAGTTTTCCCCCGGCCAACGCCGCCCTCCGACCTGCTCTATTCATGACTTGCTCGGGGCGTGGTTGGGCCTAGTATTTTATTATTTGGGCCTTGTGCACTTAATTTATTCTTGTTAGAATCTGTCAAGGGCTATTTTAAATTAATTTTACTTGGTTGTAACTACCTGTTTGGTTTTCTCCTTCAAACATGCGATAGTTATCCTTAACTATCTTCCTTAATTTTCTCCTATTATCAAGCACTAGTGCAGCACTTTCAGGAGCAGGTTTTGTTATTTAAATGAAGCTCTCTTCGCTTCCAGGACACAGAAAAAAACCACACAACCTTCTGAGTTCTTCTTCTTCTTCTAGTTCTGAGCAAACAAAGAGTTCCATCTCTTCTCTCTCGAGTGCACGAGAAAGAGGAGCACCGTGTAAACCTTGGGGGGCGACGCCTGAATTCCTGATTGCACCAAGTCAGGGGCGAAATCACTTCTAAGTCAGTGGGTTCCCACGACACGGTTCTTGTCCTTCATTTTGTTTTCAAACACCATTGGCTCTAAATTTTAAGTTATTGTCACAGTTTTCTATTGGTCTTCCAACAATATGGTTAACCGCTTAAACGCTCACCTGGAAGACCGTAAAATCAAATTGTAACTTTAATTATGGGACGGAGGGAGTACTATACACAACTCGATGGGCTAACCGAATTCTGATTTATTTCGAACAACTCG